AATTGTGGAGCTTTTTCTGAAAAAGAACGGATTTTAACGTTTTCGACCTCATCTCAGTATTTCGCGGTTTTCTCCATCAAGATTCAATTTTTTCGAGCTCGGAAAGTGATATTCGTGATCAGCATGACCTGGTGAATCAGAATATGTATAATAAAGTCAAAAATAAATTTCACTGTCAGTTTGCTTTCCGTGCACCTTATAATTCTCTTTTAAAACTTTCTTTATTCTCCATTTCTAAATTAAATAATACTTTTATTAAATATAGGTTATGCGAGGTGATTTATGAAAGCGACACTAGTTTTTTCGAAAAAATGGCGTTACTTTTATTCTGTGAGCTAACCACTTACATATAGTAAGAGATGGCGGTTCAAGATTCTAATTTTTTATATCGTATAGTTAGTTTTCTTACTGTTATCTCAGTTAAAGGTGTTTGTTCATCCTGAACCACATCATCACATGCTAACTTATTGTCATCAGATAGATCTAAATCACCAGAGCTCATTCGATCCTGTTCTTTTTTTCTTTGAATAAGACGTCTTTGTATTTGAACGTCCGATTCCACCTAAATATTTACATAAAATGTATAGGTATAATTTTGTTTGAGAAAACTTTTTGTGAAACTTCGTACTTTAGAGGACTTTATTTTATTCAATTCATTTGGTTCTTCTGTTGTTTCAGGGGTTTGCTGAAACGAGAACGCATTATGTATATATATATATATATATATATATAAACGTTCACATGTTTACTTATAGGAATTCGAACAAAAACTACTTAAATACAATATTCACTTATTAGTGACGTGGAAAGCTGATATTGATCATTCAACGTTTTGTATTGTAAGTCTTGCCTCTTATAAAATATATTCTTCAGTAGATTTAATTTTATACAGTCTTTATTGATTTTAGGGCTATAAACGTTGGGATAGGAATCGTAGATCGGGTTTTAAGAATCTTCAGCTGGTTGATCTTCCTCAAACAGCATATGGAGTTGATTGGGTCAAAGTCAACAACATCGCACGTCTAACCTCTAAAAATAAAGCTTATTTTTACGTAAATACACCTGAACGTGAACAACAGATTATTCATGCTATATGTCCAAATGCCAAATAATAATCTGGCGTAAACAATGCCATTTTCAAATTTTAAGTTTTTTTTGCAATATGTTCATATCTGAATCGTCTTTTTTCTCGAAGTTTATTAAATACATAATATTAAACTTATTTGGAAAAACCACCCATTATATTTAAGGGACAGTCCATGAGAAAAACGCGTTTTTCTGATATAGTTCCTACCTCTTCGATTTCAAAATAATCGTAAAATTCGTTTTTCCTCACAGATTTTGAAAGAGCGTACATGAGTTCCTCAGAAAACTATTAAAAATTATTTTTGAAGGCTCTTCGGTACAGAGCGCTGGACGTCTGAACTTTGGGGCCCATTAAGAGTGATCAGTTTTCGTACTTTTCAGTGTTATCGTCGTCATTTTATCATAAAAACGGCTACAGAGCCGGTTGATATTTTGTTTGATAAAGAATCAAACAGACATTTAGTGCTGAAAGGTGAGAGTCATTTCGAATTAACCTTGCTTTTCTAGGGTCAAAATTTCGAAAAAATGCATACACCGAAAAACTAGTATTTCTGATTAAGTAATACCCTAGTTCTGCGTCTACGTCCAGATTCTGTGACCAAAAGTTCTTTGATTGATAACGCGTTGAATGAGGTATCATTCGACCAAAAAAGACTTCGGAGAAATTTCTAGTGAATCAACAACGTATGCCATCCCTAAGGCGGAAAATGACTTATGTTCGAAATAATGCATTTTTCTCCCTCTATGTACTTTATTTCGTCAGAAAAACAATATATTCGTGTTCAACGAATGAAACTGAGTAATTTTAGAAGTTTACGGAGCCTTTATACCCTCTACTTTATATGTCATTCGATAGAGAATTTTACAGGCTACAAAATCGTATGTAATTGGGATGTTTGGGAAGAATATGTGATTCTAGATATTTTAACATTTCAGACTCTTATTTCGAAAACTAATATTATCACGAGATTCAGCACGATCGATAACCTATGTTTTCATCTATTTTGAAGGTTCCGGATCTAAAGATCATCGAATCTGGGTGTTTTCGGAGAATTCCTTCCCCTGAGCGATATTGACCTATGGATCTGTTCAGGAGTTGAACAGTATTTCTAGTGTTAGAATATCTAATCACATATTCTTCCCAAAACATTATATACGATTTTGTAGCCCGTAAAATTCCTCATCGTATGACATATAAAGCAGAGTGGTTAACAAGAAATAAATCATTATTATAGACATGAACGACGTTTACCCACTGGTTTGCTGGGATATTATCGGGTATTTCGGAACTCAGACTATCCAGTTACATTTTCTTATGTCTGTCTTATATATTCAAAAAACTCGATCGTTTTGTTTTCGCCGGTATGTTTCTTTGTGACATTCTTACTCGAAAAAGGAAATAAATGATACAGGTCATTATTTCTCTGAAAACCGTAGTGCCCTCATTTAATATATGAAATATGAGTTTCAATTTGTGCCAAGACCTTCTTCCAATAGGTTAGCTTAGAATACTTATAAACTTGAAGGAAGCTAACAGTTCTAACTGTCTTTACAATGTATTTTGGAAGTTATAATTCAGTTGTAATATTTCTGTTAGGGAAATATCTCAATCCTAGATTGACCAAGTTCTATCTGGATGGGATCTTCACTTTTTATTCTGCATGTGATCGGAAGAACTGATCTCACGTTACATGTCAGAAATGATGATTTTCATCAAGAATATCAATTTTTAGTGTTCTATCTATGAGCTGCTCATAGATAGAATCCAAGAAACGTATGGTATCTCTATTTTATGATGGGGAAGGGATATAAATCTGTAAATATAGCAATAAGTTCATGAATGAGATATTCGATCACTTTGCCTTGGGAGATTTTCAATGCGAAAACGAGCGGTACTTCTGTCTCTATCGCTTGCGATGAGAAAGAAAATATGATTTTGTTGCCCTCGAAGGATCAGATTTTTTTCGAATGTTTTGGACCATCGTCTATTACTTTGTTTCCAGAAATTTCAACTCCAAATCAGTATAAAAACTAAGCTAGTTGAAACGGAGATTTGATACTAAAACTTTCAAAGCTACCAGAAAAATTGAAAAGCTCTTTCATCGCAGGAGAAAGAACAACTAATTTTCGTCAATTTTAGCAGCATCTAACGAGGGAACATTCCCAAGTGAGACACTCCGATTTTGTTCAAAGCTGGCAATTTATACGAAATCAAGGGCGCTGATTATGAATATGATAGCCGTTTGTGCCCATAGACCTTTCCTAGCGTATCTCTGGAGAATCGGTTTTCTAGAAATTCCCTGAAACCCTAGCAATGTTTTATCAACATGTTGGGATTTTAGCCTGAAATTTTTGCATCAAAATGAGACGCTTCCCAGCTCTCCATGACCCCTAAGAGAAGCCCTAGGTTAATTTTTCTTTCTATATCTCTGAGCCGACAATGAACATTTAGGGCTTCTCTTGTAAATTCTGCAACTTTGCAAAGAAAGGTCGTGGAGATCTGGAAAGCGTCTCATTTTGATGCAAAACTTTCAAGCTATAGTCCCAACATGTTAATAAAATATTACTAGGATTTTAGGGATTTCTAGAAAACCGGTTCTCCAGAGAAACACTAGGAAAGGTCTATGGACACAAACGGCTATCATATTCGTAATCAGCACCCTTGATTACATATAAATTGCCAGGTTTGAACAAAATTCGAGTGCCTCACTTGGGAATGTTCCCACGTTATCCAGCGAGAATAGAAATAAAAACGCAATAGATTCCAGAGATGAATGGTAAATAAAATACGAGGATCCCTTATACAGAATGAAAAGATGAAAGAAACCAAATTAAAATCAAATGTATGTATACGCTTAGAAATAAAAAGCAACTATATAAGGTAAACCAGAAAACATTTAGTTACAGTAGTTATAATTCAGTCAGCACAAGAGGATCTTCTTCCAGATGGTAATCCAGAACTGACGAATGACTATCCACAGGAGCTTATTCTGTACGCTTACAATTCGTACATTTCTACACACACACACATTGTCTTAACCAGCTTTTTTGAAACTCATGGAAACGTACCGACTAACAGGTGTCAAAAAATTTATCCGGTATAAATACGTTTCAGAAGAATAAAATAGAAAGGTGGTGTGCTGGAGTCAGAATCTGACTTGCTTATTATTATTCAGAACACTTACTCAATTGTAAGTTCACGTAAGCGAACGTTATTAATAAAGTGATGTTAAAATGAACGCGCAAGATTCGAGTTTGATTTCAAATAAAATACTCGAGTTATCACGTACCTCTAGTAGAAACAATGTTTCTTTTTTATAGCTTAATGTACAATGCTTACATAAATATAGGCTCTTTCTATCATCTCGACAAGAATTATCACCATCTTGAGAACAGAATCATTGCTATCGCAGCTGGTCACGACCTTCAAATGTGTATGATACACTAGTATGAGATTCTAAACATGCTTACGTTTCATCTCGACGAATGGTAGTTATAGAGACCAAATGACTGACTCATTTAAAGAAGGGACTAGCAAGCAAGGAGAAAGGAGAACATTCCCCATTCTGCTCTTTGTAATCAAATGCACCGTTTTTGTTGAACATAATTTTATTTACATAAGACAAGAACACAATGTTTGATAATATAGCATAAAGAAGACAACAGAAAGTTTTAGTTGCATGATGGCATCTCGCATAATATTTCATGTTTACAATAGAATATTAAATAGCATAACTTTTATGTCTGACATATTATTGTCTTTGTCGTTTTTCTTGAGTGTTTTTCCTAAAAAGTAAGAAAATAATAATAGAAAATCCAATCAAATTCAACAAATCATTCACAGAGTAGACTATATTTAGTCTTACCAGCAGTACAATAAAAATGTGAAAAGACATCGAAAGAGGAACGTATCAGTGTTCTATACACACATACATGCTATGAGAAGTAAATATTTTCCCTTCAATCATCTGAACAATAAAACACAAGAGACAGTACACTGCGACCACAAACATCTGTGATGACCGGCACCATCCTTCTAAACTTTTTTCAATTTAAAGCATCAGCACGTAAAATCAGTAGTATATGTGGGTACAAGATATATGAGTTTAGCCTATCGAACGAAGAAATCGACAACAAACGACGTGATATCAAATTTATATCAGAAGAAACTCGGTAGATTATGCGAACGCCAGAATGCAAAATTTCGAGCAGCTGAATTCAATAACAGTGGAGCGTAGAATGATCTATCAATATGGAATTTATTATAGAGAAAACTAGTTAGAATTGAGCGGATTGATAAAAGATTGCATGTTACATCAAGCATCAATCGTTTCAACACTGTATGTCTAGCTCATAGAGTATCGACAATGATCGACATCAATGTTCGCGCTTACAAGTTACTAAATCTCGTTCTATCAAGAATCATTTGACTATAGATAATGGGATAATGAATACGATGCATATATCATATCCAAACACCAAGTAGTTTCGATATTGAAAGTCTGTTCATAAATATTCTCGTACAAAGGCCTAGTAACAAATCTGTTCTCCAATTGAAACAAATTATAAGTAAGCGCAACGCTTTCTCCGAATGCGAAATAAAATGTACAACCATTTAAGTCATGCGCTAATTCCGTGTAGTCTACAGAATCTCATTTACAAATTATCCCGGGTGCAATGGTGAACATATCGATTAGAGCATCAAGTGAAAGAGCCATGGTACGGTAATACAAGAGAAAGATGAAGAGAAACATCATTCAAACATTATTTCTGTTAGAGACAATAATTTTGATAAAATATATCTTCTTATTACAGCAGTAGCCATAAAAACTTTTATTTAAATATAGATAATAAGAGATACACAACCTTTTTCATCATGAAAATCGACTATTTTCTGTTTGAGACGTTTCGTCTTTATTCAAAAGACATCCTCAGTCAAATGTGACAGACGAAAGTTGGTTAAAATAGAAGATAAAAATAAAAATACAAATACACGTATGTAGAACACAACAAATAAAATGGATAA